GAGAGAGATAGAAACATCAATATGAGAATCAATTGGCTGCCTCCGGCGCACCCCTACTGGGCATGGAGCCCACAGCCCAGGCACGTGCCCTGACCGGGAATCAAACCGGGACCTCTCAGTCCATAGGACGATGCTCAATCCACTGAGCCATAGTGGCCGGGCTTATTATTATTATTTTTTTAAATCCTCACCCGAGAATATTTTTCCATTTTTGTTCAGATAGAGTGGGAGGGAAAGAAAGGGAGGGAGAGAGGGAGAGAGAAAGAAACATCCATGTGAGAGAGAGACATAGACTGGCTGCCTCTTGCACGACCCCTACCAGGGCCTGGATGAACCACAACCAAGGTGCGTGCCCTTGACCGGAATCAAACCCGTGGGTCGTCGCTCTAATCGCTGAGCCAAACCGACCAGGGCAAGTTGCACATTTTATTTATTTTAATTTTTTTTTCTTTATCAGTTATTTTTTAGAGAGAGAGGAAGGGAGAAGGAGAGAGAGAGATAAAAACATTGATGAGAGAGAACCTCCACTGGCCGCCTTCTGCATGCCCCCCACTGGGGATTTGGCTCACAGCACGGGGAGTCAAACCAGCAACCTCTTGGTGCATGGGTCTACGCTCAACCACTGAGCCACACCAGCTGGGCACGTTGCACGTTTTAAATAAAACATCACATTGATGAGATTGTCCCTCTCCCTAGTTTTTTTTAGTTTTAATTTTTATTTTGCAAATGTTCATCCCAGTATTGCATCCAGAAACCCAGGAGAAGCTGAAGGTGAGAGCTGAGCGCGTTTTCCAGCCCTGACAGTGCCAGGTGTTCTTCTTGAAGTCCGGCTCCTGCCGCTTTCGCTGGCCTCAGTCAGACACGGCTGCAGGCCCGTGAAGCAGGCTGGAGAGGTTTAACGCCCTTTCCCCTCAGAGGACCCCTCGTGCTGTAATTTGCGGTCTGTGATTTTTACTATGGCTTTCACTTTAATTATATCTCATCTGATGGCTATTTTTATAGATTAATATTAAATCTGGTTTCTTAGCACTTTAGAGTTACCTCTGTGAGTTATATCACATCGTATAGTAAAGCTCCAAATTAAAAAAGAAAATCTTAAATTAAAGTGTTGATTCACATTATCTTCTTTAATTATTCAAGCATTATCCTTTATCCAAATTAAATCAATTCCTGAAAATATATCAGGTAGCAGATTTTTAGCTATTGGAGCCTATATTATATTCTTTTAAATGGGGGTGGGGGGATGATGCATTCTGTCCAAAAATCCTAAGCATTTTTTTTTTAATCCTCACCCGAGGACATTTTTCCATTTTTTGTTCAGCTAGAGTGGGAAGGAGAGAGAGAGAGAGAGAGAGAGAAACATCGACGTGAAAGGGACACATCGAGTAGCTGCCTCCCGCATGACCCAACCAGGGCCGGGAACAAACTGCAACCGTGGTAGGTGCCCTTAGCGGGAACTGAACCACAGGCCGACGCTCTAACCTCTGAGCCAAACCGGCCAGGGCAAAAATCCTAAGCATTTTTAATTTTTTTGAGGTAACTCCATACTGCTTTCCATAGTGTCTGCGCCAGTCTGCATTCCCAACAACAGTGCACGAGGGTTCCCTTTTCTCCACGTCCTCGCCAGCAGCCTGTATAATCTTATTAACCAATGTCACCCCAATAAATTCAATTTGAGAAAATCCTAAGAAAACTTCCACAAATATCACTAAACTGCTTTTTAGGACCTATATAATAATCTGCCAAAGTTTTTGTATAATATTTGTTACAGCCCTGGCCAGTTTGGCTCAGCGGTTAGAGCGTCGGCCTGCGGTCCGGAGAGACCCGGGTTTGGTTCCCGCTAAGGGCATGTACCTCGGTTGCAGTTTGTCCCCGGCCCTGGTTGGTCGTGCGGTGGCAACCACTCGATGTGTCCCTTTCACATCGATGTTTCTCTCTCTCTCTCTCTTCCTCTCTCTCCCTCCCACTCTATCTGTGCAAAAAATGGAAAAAAAAAATGTCCTCAGGTGAGGATAAATATTTGTTACAAAGCATTTGAAACACCTCTTGCCTAATTTTTAAAATACTTAATGAACACATTATTGAGTATGGTTTTGATCATAAGCAACAAGACTGTGCAGTATTGATTATGAATTAGGGTTTACGTCTATCAGTAACAAACAAGTATTATAAATAAAAAATGAAATAGTATGACTTCATCTAGATTGGACTCCAGTTGGTGGGGCCCCCAAAGGCCTGGCAGAGGCAGCCTGTGGGATTAGGGATTCTTCTGTGTTCTCACAGTAAATATCTTTCAGGTTTTTTTCATCATAGAAGTTCCTGGCTCCCTCAGCTTCTGCGTTGGGCAGAACAGGGACAGGGACTTGGGTTTGTGCGTGTTAGTTTAGGATCTGAATATTATCTGACTTCAGGAGGACTCGAATTTCCTGCTTATCTTTTTTTTTTTTTTATCCTCACCCGAGGACATTTTTCCATTTTTTTGTTCAGATAAAGTGGGAGGGAGAGAGAGAGAAACATCAACGTGAAAGGGACACATCGAGTGGCTGCCACCCGCATGACCCCAACCAGGGCCGGGGACAAACTGCATTGAGGTACATGCCCTTAGCGGGAACTGAACCCGGGTCTCTCTGGACTGCAGGCCGACGCTCTAACCGCTGAGCCAAACCAGCCAGGCTCCTGCTTATTTTAATACCCTTTCTTATGGGACCTGTTTACTTGTACATGTGAGAAAAAACCAAAAGAGGGAATTAGAAATGTTATATGGTGGAATAATAGTTAAAAGTATGAACTGATTTGTAGTAACCTTATGATTCATTTAACCTTGTCATAACTATGCTGTACAAGTTAAACAAAGAGTATTTTAATCAACTAGCTGATTTTTGTTTGGTAAGATCATCTCTTTTGTCATAGCCTTACTCTTTCTAATGACTGCAGTCTTGTCTACTGGACAGTGTTTGGGTTACTTTGGGCTTCATTTTAAGTTCAACCGTTTCAGTCGGCCCTCGTTTATCATTGTTAATTGGTTCCAGACTCTACTGCGATAAATGAATTTCTGCCAAGTAGGGTTCTTTATTTATACACAGTCGTCCCTGGTTCCACGATAGAGTGAAACTGCGAAAGTCAAAGCCCGAAGTGGCCAGGGACGACTGTACTACAAATTCACTTCTATCTGATGTCTTCAATCCCCCGTTTTTCTGCTTACTATTTCTTCGAGACCCTGATAATATTCCTCTTTAAAAAAAAAAAAAGTTTTCATTGATTTTTTTAGAGAGAAAGCTAGAGCATCAATGTGAGAGAGAAACATCCATCAGCTGCCTCCTGCACGCCCCCTACTGGGGATCAAGCCCGCAACCCCGGGCATGTGCCCTGACCTGGAATCCAACCAGAACCTCTCAGTTCATGGGACGACGCTCAATCCACTGAGCCACACTGCCAGGCTAATGCTTTTTTTTTTTGGCATCCTTACCTGAGGAAATTTGGAAATTTTTCCATTTTTTGTTCATATAGAGTGGGAGAGAGAGAGAGAGAGAAACATCGACGTGAAAGGGACACATCAAGTGGCCGCCACCCGCACAACCCAGTCAGGGCCGGGGACAAACTGCAACCGAGGTACATGCCCTTAGTGGGAACTGAACCTGGGTCTCTCTGAACCGCAGGCTGACGCTCTAAATGGTGAGCCAAACTGGCCAGGCTAATCCTCTTTTTATCTCACCATTTCCCCCACAAATAAGAAAAGAATCTTGCACTCTTATTTTATTCACATTGTATCAAGGAATCAAGTAAATGGACAGAAAAAGCCTGTTCAATTTCGTGCAAGACAGAAGGCCCATTTGGCCTTGTTGAAGATCAGAGAGATGGCCAGTGTGACTGCAGCATCTTTTGTGGGGAGAGAGTGAATAGTTTTGGGTCAGAGATGCCAGAGCTAGAACATGTAGAAGTTTGGGTTTTATTCCAAGTGCAACAAGAAGTCATTGGGTAGCCGTGGCCAGTATGTCTCAGTTGGTTGGAGCATCGTCCCCTAAACCGAAAGGTTGCCGTTCAATTCCTGGTCAGAGTACACACCTAGATTGCGGGTTCAGTTTCCCGTTGAGACGCATACAAAGAGGCAACCGATCCATGTTTCTCTCTCCCTCTCCCATTCTTCTCGTCTCTCAATCAATAAACATATTCTTGGGTAAGGATTTTTTTTTAAGTTGTTGGGTGGCTCTAAACAGTCATGATTATCTGATTTATATTTTAAATCTCACTTTGGCTTCCGTATGAATGGTCGGAGCAGGAAGGAGACCAGTCAGAGGTTGCGGGAGAATTCCGGCGGGGAGGTGACGGTGGCTCCACTGGGGGCGGCAATGGCAGTGGAGAGAAGTGGACAGTAGGGGAGATGTTTTGGAGGTAGAATTGACAAAAGTTGATAATGGGTTGGATCTGGAGGACAGAAGTGAAAAGGAGAGATCAAGGATGACTTCTAGCTTTTGGGTTTGTTCTACTGGGTTGGTGCTATTATTATTTTCTAAGATAGGGCAAACCAGAGGAGAGGAAACATTGGGGGAGAATGAAATGAAGAGTTTTGTTGTGGCTCTCTTAAATTTGAGGTGCTTATCTGATGTCCAAATATGTCTGTAGCATATGTGAACATGTCTGATGAGGCTGGAGCTAGGTGGGGATAGGTCAGGAATAGAGACATGATAAGAGTTTGGAAGTTATCAGTATATAGATGGTATTTAAAGCCATGGGACTGAATAAAATTACCTGTACATTTGTCATCTTCTCTGACCTGTACCATCCCCCTCCCTACCTTGTAAAATTATGCCCCCATTACATGTATATATTTTAATTATAATGCCTTTAATAATTTGGTGTTATCTTGTTTTTAGTAAAATATTCTGATTTCTTTTTACTATTTATTTTCTTTTTATTGTTTAAGGATATTCAATCACTAGCATCTGTATTTAACTGGAGATCTAACAGTTACGTCTTTTGTCTTCTGCTGTTTTCTTTTGTAGGCAAAGTCATTAATAAAGATCTGCGACATTACCTGAGTCTCCAGTTTCAGAAAGGATCCGTTGACCACAAACTGCAGCAAGTGATCAGAGATAATCTCTACTTGAGAACCATTCCATGTAAGTAGGATGGGGTAAAAGAAACGAGACCAAGATATCCTTATGTAACCACCTGACATCAAGAAATAATTCAGTAGAGCATCTCCTGTGAAATCGTGAAGACTGAACGGGGCACGAGAATGCAACAGAAGCTGGACAAGGAGAAACATTTTCAGAGGACTTTAGGGGTTTTGTTTTTCAAACTAGAAAAACCAGAAGATTCTCTATTGGGACTTTTTAAAAAGTCACTAGACTTTAAGAATGTGAGACTATCTATGTACATTTGCTAACTAGATTTTATTCTTATAAATCAATTCTACAGCCTATGCAGTAAAAAGACTTCTTTGCTCTCAATGCCTTGCACACTGAGACACTTTGTTCTGATGATTAAGGACATTACTAATTTTAAAGTCTGCCCCTCCCCAAGGAAACAGGGGAGGAAATGCCTTCTTTCAGGTGATCATTTTGAATTCTTACCTTGAGGTTGGAGTTTCTTTTCCAGTCTTAGTGGTTTTCATAGGACGTAGTTGTTGTTGTAAAGGTGTTTTTTGTTTGTTTTAAAACACATAATAAGAAATCATGTATGCTTATGTGTTGGCTTTAGTTAGTGCAGGTCTGGGGAGGAATAAAAAGAAGGGCATAAAAGGACATTCTGGTTTGTTTTCTTTTTCAATATGTTTGATTCCTTGTGGATACCAGCTTTTATAACGGCTCTGAAATTTCTTTTTCTTGTTACTAATCTTACACAACGCCCAGTCCATTACCAGGCTTTTCCAGTTATGCTTCTTAAATGCCCATCCCTCTGCACTGCGCGGGCCCTCCCCCGCTCCGGCTTGGACAGGAACGAGTGGCGCGATGTAGCGGCAAAGAGCGAGGTAAAACTGAGTTCAAAATCCTGATTCCAGCATCTTCCAAGTTGCTTCACTTGGGTGAGTTACTTAATCGCCCTGGGCCTCAAGCCTCCGTGTGCAAATGGGAATAACAGGACTCACCCATCAGTTGCCGACGGGATTCAAGTGAGAGCGTGAAGGGCACCACTTGGCCTAGAGCAGGCAGTCCCTTCCCCGTTCCTGCCGCGTCCCCCGCGTCACCTCGGCGGGTCTGTCTGGAGCCTTTAACGCAGTGTAAAGTATTTGTATTTTGTTTTTACAAAATCTACCTTGAATCTGACTCCTTAAGTCTACCCTGTCAGATTTCAGAGTTGGAACCCTGCCCGCTTGTCTGCATTTGCCCAGCAGCTTCGTCCGTCGGTTTGTTTTTATCTTCCTGAATCTCTGTTTTACTAACAGTGTTGGACTTTGTAGCCAATGTGAAACTTTCTCTATATTTATTGATGTGATCAATATCTTTAGTATATTTTGTCATGTATTTGGTTTTACCCACGTACAAGTCTTTGACACGAAAGTTCCTTCACCATGTAGTCTATTTCGTTTCATCCGTCTCCCTAGGCAGGTTCGTACCTCAGCTCGACAGGCTGCCTTTGTAGCGCTGTTTTCTTCCCTCCCACTTTTTGTCCTTGTCCCTCCCGTGAGCGATGGCAAACTTACCTTGTCATCTCTTCCTCCCCCTTCCCTGTCCCTGTCCCTCTCCCGGCATCTGCCTTGAAGTGATGCTTTTCTACTCCAGGCAGATAGAAGGTAACCAGCTCGTTCCACTTCGCTGTGCTCGTTCTCACCATCTTTTCATACTTGTATCTACACTGGCAAAGTAAACAGCCACTAAGACTGCGCTCCCCCCTTTCATCGCATATTCTTTATCCTGCGGGTGATTCCGTCGAACCACCGGCCTTCTGTTTCTTCTGTTGTTTCTGTAAAGCGTGTTCTCTGCCAGATCGCTGAGAAGGGCTCGCAGGATCACCATAGCAGCTTGCTCGTGGTTTTTATACTTTACAGTTTGGATGGATATGAAATGTTGGGCTCCTATTTCTTTTCTTGTCTATCTTAATTCCATGAGGCAATTATCTCATTGTCTTCTGCTGTCAAGCATTGCTCTTGAAAAGCGTGAAAGCGCCGGATTTCCACGCCCTGTAAGGAACTTGTTTCTTCCTTCGTGGGTGTCTCAGGGCAGCATTTTCAGTTTCCTAGCTCTAGAGCTTTGCCATCCTTGTTACAAGTTAATCGAGTCTGTGCTTGTACTTTCTGCTGCCCTGTGCCGCTTTGCCTTGGGTCTTCTTTTTCATTTACTCCTACTGGCCTAGTTTTAAAGTTTCTCCTCAGTATGAGGTTTTGCCCTAGAAAGGAGCTACAATTCATGTCGTTTTCATCTGTGGGGTCCAAGCAGCTGCAGCCTTTCAAGCCCCAGCAGGATCCCTTCATTTCCTAATGAAGTCTCCACAACCCTATCTGTCTCTGAATATTCTTCTTTACTAAAAGCCACCAGCTCTTCATGGAGAAAATTCTGATTCCAGGTCTGGGGCAAGGGAAATACAAGGTGAGCTTGGAACATCTAATTGTACCAGAAAGTCTAGAAATGCTTTAAAAATTAATGGGATCTATCAGACTTAAAACAAAAAAAGCTACCTACAGGTTTTCCACTGACAAACTCTGAGGCAATTGGAACAACACAATTAATGGGAGAACCAGAGAGAACGTACAGCTGTCAGGCGCTGCGGCTGTGGACAGCACGTGGCTGCGGACCCTGGGAGCAGAGGAAGGGAGGCCCACGCAAAGCGGTGCTGGGATTTCCTCAGCTCCCGGCCTGGGTGCACTTGCTGGGCGAGGCTCGGAGGGAGGGCCCGGGCAGCACAGCCCACCCTCCCGTTGAGGGGTGGACGTCTGAGGGGCCTGGAGTGTACGACCAGTGTGTCAGGGGAGACGCAGCAGTCTGCCTACACCCCCCTTTGAGTCTGTGCTGAATGCCGAGCTGACTGAGACTGTGTCGCACGAGACTCCACGTGGCCGGCAAGGAACCCGGGGAGCTGCAAGCTCAGCAAGGCCCAGAGCCTACACAGGTGGGAGGGATCTGAGTCCTAACCAGCCCGAGTGGAGACCTTGTAGGCTCAGACCTTGCACTGAGCTCCTGGAGGCCTGCTTTAACAGAGTTAATTAAGCCAGCCTGAAGGATCAAGCGAATCTGCATGTAATTGAACTAACTGTTAGCAAAAAGAAAGGAAGTTTCCAGTGTGCGTTCTCTCTCTCTCTCTCCCCCTCTCCCCCTCTCCTCCTCTCCCCCTCTCCCCCTCTCCCTCTTTCTCTCCCTCCCTCTCCCTCCCTCCCCCCTCTCTCTGCCTCTCCCCCCCTCTCCTTTCTCTCTCTCTCTCTCTCTCTCTCTCTCTTTCTCTTTCTCTTTCTCTTTCTTTCTCTCTCGCAGTCGCTTCCCAGAGGCTGGGGCTCTGTCTGGGCTTCCCCGCAGCCAGTCCAGCTACACCTCCCTCGGTGGCTTCCTGGGCCCCACAGTGCACCGGCTGACTTCCTCAGCCTCCTGCTGCCTTCCATGGGCACCCCAGCTGGCTCCCCACCTTTCAGCAATCTCCCCTGCACGTGGTTTTCCAGGGGATTGGGCAAGTCCAGCCAGTGTCCCAGCTGGTCTTCTAGTAAGTGAAATGCACCTTCCACCACCCACCCCCTCCTAGGAGCCTGCTGGTAAATTTCATTGGTGCTCCAGCAGACATTTCACTGCCTGCCAGCCCCGGCCACGGACCGGAGCCATCTCTGTCCCCAGGCTACTGCTTCCGACTGGGAGCAGCCTTCTCTTCCAAGTTGGTTTCTTACTTGGCTGCTCTCCCTCAGCCCTAGGGTGGTCTTCCTCAGCTCTAGGGTGGTATTCTCTAGAGTTATCTTTTATGCCCTCTCAGTTAATTACTTGGGAATAGTTACTACTTCTTTGTATTAAGCTGTCCTTGTTCAAGTTACTCTGGTTTTTCTCTCTTGTTTGGACCCCAGCTGACACAGAATTGGTATTAGCCATAGCCCCAGGAGACAGACCCTGCAGGAAGGAATTTTAGAATTGGTTTTGGTTGTGTTCTTGGGCTTAGCACGGTGCCGAGTGCCTGCCAGTGAGAAGTAGGGTGTTTGTAATTCATGACAAGAAGAGGCATCACAGTTTAATCATAGTGTCATTCATGGTTGGTTGTGATCAAACGCTAGCTGAACCAAGTACCTTGGGACCCAAAGGGACTGTGGCACGTGACCGTATGGCAATGATGACGGCTCCGGGCACCGTGGGGTGGCGTTGTGTCTCCAAGTGCTTCGAGTGCTTTTTTTTTTAATTCTCACTCGAGGCTATTTTTCCATTAATCTTCAGTTAGAGTGGGAGGTGGGGGGAGAGAGAGAGAGAAACATTGATGTGGGAGAGATACATTGATTGGCTGCCTCCTGCATGACCCTGACCAGGGCCAGGGATCAAACTGCAACCGAGTTGTGTGCCCTTGACTGGACTCGAACCCACGACTCTTTGGTTCTCGGGCCAATGCTCAAACTGGCCAGGGCTCCAAGTGCTTCTCGTGCTTAAAGAGAGAAAATGACACTATGAAATCAACTGGTTTATTATTATGAGCTCATATAACAAGATTATAATAACACTTTTAAATTACCTGATAGTAATATTTGTGAATAGATAACCTTAAAAGAAGGGAGAATTAGCACAAAATAAAAACAGTTTTAAAATTTGAAAGATATTGTCACACATATTTACTATTTGAATTTTTCACTTCTAAGATGAAATTTTAAAGCACACAAAGTATCAGTTACATCATCTGCTGGTCTCATCTTTGTTGGGTAACAGTCCAGACATGGAAAAGATTCCTTTCATTTGTATTGATATTCACCATATTGAAAGTGTGTATCCCAGAACATCTTTAAATTGGGCATCAGTCGTTGGTCATTCATATAAGCTAGTTTTATATATATATATATATACACACACACACACACACACACACGCGTGTGTATATATAAATATTTTTTTCTTTTACTGATTTTAGAGAGAGAGGAAGGGATAGGGAGAGATAGAAACATCGATGAGAGAGAACATTGATTGGCTGCCTCCTGCATGCCCCCTACTGGGGATTGGGCCCACAACCT